CCTCCGGGACCGACGCGCATCGACGGCACGACCCCGAGGCCGAGGCTCCCCCTCTCCCCGCCGCGCTCTCCCGGAGCAGCAGCGGCGAGCCGGCCCCGAACGGCGCGGGCGAAGCGGTGGTAGGCGCGCCCCGGGCGGATCAGAGAGACGAGAAGCTCGCCCTGTACCTGGCCGAGGTGGAGAGGCAGGACAAGTACTTGAGGCAGAGGAACAAGTACCGCTTCCACATCATCCCCGACGGCAACTGCCTCTATCGAGCTGTCAGCAAGACGGTGTACGGGGACCAGAGCCTGCACCGGGAGCTGAGGGAGCAGACTGTGCACTACATCGCGGACCACCTCGACCACTTCAGCCCCCTGATTGAGGGCGACGTGGGGGAGTTTATTATCGCTGCTGCCCAAGATGGGGCGTGGGCCGGGTACCCCGAATTGCTGGCCATGGGGCAGATGCTGAATGTGAACATACACTTAACTACTGGAGGGAGACTGGAGAGCCCCACCGTGTCTACCATGATCCACTATCTGGGCCCAGAGGATTCTCTGAGGCCTAGTATTTGGCTCAGTTGGCTCAGCAATGGACACTATGATGCTGTTTTTGACCACTCCTATCCTAACCCAGAGTATGACAGTTGGTGCAAGCAAACCCAGATGCAGAGAAAGCGCGATGAAGAACTTGCCAAGTCCATGGCCATATCCCTGTCCAAAATGTATATCGAACAAAATGCATGCTCTTGAAAAATCTGAGGACCTGACCAGCCGGGGAAAAGGCGCACATCAGTTGTGTTGGGAAAACCACACGAACTCTAATTAGGGTAATGGCACTTTTCAACTTCCTAGTAGATTGGCTGTAGGTGTAATGCCTTAATCAGTTTTTTAATGTTCTCTCAGAGCTGCAGGTTGCTGGGCACCTGAATGATGTTTCCTGATAGGTTTGGGTGAGCCTGCTGCTATTTATAATTTGCTGTATAAAGTGAGCGCTACTTAATTTGCAAGCTGATGTCTCACGGTATGAATTTGTTCATTCCCGGTAGTCTATTTTCTATAAAAATGTATTTTTGCACATTTTTAAAAATGGGTGTACTTTAATCTATGACGTGTTCCAATTGCGAGAAATGGCTTTAAGCATAATCCAGAGAAGTGCTTTCTATGAAGTTTATTTCAGTTTGTGATTTAGTAGTTTACATTGTTGAAATATTTCACAATTCTTAATTATTTCAAATGGATATTTTGACACATTATGTTACCAGATGATTAGCCCATTCCACTTTGATGAAACAAGCGGATTTGTTGTTTGGGGGGAAATGTTATTTTTTTAGAACTAGTCCGCTTTGAAGACAGTTAAGAAAGGGATCGCTTTTGGGACGATGTTTTTTTTTTTTTTTTTTTTTTTTTCTTTAAAGGACAGTACAGGCCTTACTTGAATAGAAGTCTGCTGTTGCTGTGGCAGAATGATGATTCTGTACTCTGATGTTTAGATTGTCTGCTGCTCTTGATTGTTTTCTTCTTATTCATCAACTTCTTAGGAAAGACGTTTAACATGTATGAAATTTTGTGAGACGTCAAGTCTCCCTGCATTATACAGCTTCTTGGTTTCAACTGAGATTTCGAAAAATGAGCCTAAGTAGCTGGGCCTGACAGAATGGCCATTATTTTTAGCAGGAGGCTACTGTCTTAATATTCTGTCATATTAAAGTTCTTCCAAAAGGCAAAATAGAATTTACCTTGTATTATGTAAAAATGTAAACAGCTTGTATGGTTTGCTGGGTCAAACAGTGTTTCCAGCCAAAAAAAAAAGAATCTATATGTTGCCACTTTTAACTACCTTTAGTGTATTTATTAAGTAATGAAGTTTGTACTTTTTTATTTTGTAACATTTTGTGATTGTTTTTGTACAATAATGTATTTGTACAATATAGCAGTTCTCAGCTGATGGAATGAATGAATAAAATGTATACTTTTACATCTTTCTGGGTAGAGTGGTTTTTAAGTAGCCAGGTCTCTAAGAACTTTTCTTAAGTGTACATAATTTTTTTTTTCACCTGTAAAAATGCTCCACAATCCTGAGAGGTTTCCCAAATTCTCACATGAACAAGAAAGTATCATTCAAAGGGTAAATCTCAATGAAATATATTAAAAGGTGGAGTGACTCAAGAAGTGGCTCTTACTATTTCTAATTATAATTCCTATCAAATTATAGCTGTACCTATTGGCTAATGAATAGGAAAGTGCAATTCACCAGCCCAAGTCTAATTAAATGTCATACTTTATGATCCATTCTTTTGGCTTAGACTTTCCTGTATTAAAGAGTAGCCAAAGTAGTGTCCTGAATTTACTTTATCAGTTCCTCTTAGCTATGGGAATCCACTTTAAAATGTGTTAACCGGATTTAGTTGTAAAATACATGTTATGGTATAAATATGCCTCCTTCAAAAATCGTGAGTTGAAACTTAACTCCCACTAGGTGGGGCATTTGGGAAGAGATTAAGTCAGAGGGCCTCTTAAATGAAATATGCCTCATGAAAGGGCTGAAAGATTTAGCTTTAGGCCTTTTTAAGACCTCTGCAGTTGATGGATGCCTAGAGGCCACTATCTTTGTAAAGGACTGACTTACCAGATAAGAAACATGGCATTTTCTTGGACTTCCCAGGCTTAGAAAGGTGAGAAATTTCTTTTATAGATCACCCATTTTCAAGTGTTTTCTTACAGCAGCACAAACAGACTAAAAGACTGCACCTGTCTGTATGTATCATTGGGATGTGAAGTTTATTGCAAAACAACAATAACTAATTTAGATTTGTTACTTTTCAGTGGGTTGCTTAAAGACCACAATTAGGATGCCTGAATCTGGTAACAACATGCTTGGAAGGATTACATTGGTTACACAGGAAAGGCAAAGTTGTCAGGAATTTAAATGTTAATTGTAGATCTCTAAACTTTTAGGTAAAGTTTTGTTCTGTTTTCACTGGTTACATAATTTGGTCAGAAACAAATGCTATTTGAATTATGCAGTTACCCTCTGTGTGCTTTATTCTTTTATGAACTTTGGAGATGCTGAGAACTTACACCAGAAAACAGAATAGATGATGTTCCTGAATTTTTTTTTTCTTTTTAAATCTTTTACTGATTTAATAGGTTTCCAAATCAGGTCCAAATCAGGATCCCTGGCCACTGGGAAGTGTGAGGATTTTGACAGTTTCTAAGATCAGATGACATGGTAGTTCGATACAGTGCAGTATTTATACACAAGGGCAATTGTCAGCTTCAGCCAATGCAATGTTAGTTCAAAAGCATATATTTCTACATTTATGGAGGTGAGTTTTTTTTTCATGTGAGATGTCAGTAGAAACAGTATTTGCTACTGAATATGAGAGGCTTGTTTTTAGTTGTCTGAAAAGTTTTCTTACATCCTTCTCATTTGTTCTGTGTGGCTTAGTGCTTGTTTTGTTGTTTTTGGAGAAGGAAATGTAGAGTCCCTCCTTTGTATTTAATATTTCTTCTCTACTGCTGTGCCAGTTTTATGTGTTAGTAGTGGCAAACGTGAATCAGTAAGCACAGGACATAAAAAGCGAAAAGCTAGGTGATGATTCGGTTTGTTTGTTTATTTATGCATTTATTTATTTTTGACTGTTTGAGACAGTTTCTCTGTGTAGTCCTGGAACTTGCTCTGTAGACCAGGCAGGCCTTGAACTCAGATCTGCCTGCCTCTGCCTCACAATTGCTAGGATTAAAGGTGTGCACCACCACCATCCGGCTTGGTTTATTCTTATTTACCTTTATTTAGCAATCAGTTTATTAAACATTCATTCCTTCAGTTACTCTTCGCAGAGTACCCAAGAGCCCCAACATTCTATGAAGGAGACAGTTGGTGCTGTGAGTTATAGCAAGTTTCCTTTGAGTTTATTTCCCTCTAAAACATGGGGAGGATAGGATGTAAAATAAACACAACAAGCATTTTCAGGGACATTAGTGAGAAAAATTACACTATTAACTTGATTTGTTGAAATGGCATATAAATTAAAAACTGATACAAATGGAGTGTGATGATACATACATATTTGTAAATTCTATTTGGGAATTAAGACAGGAGGATCTTGAGCTGAAGGCTGTCTGAACTAAATAGTAAGTTCCAGGCCAGTCTGGGATCTGTAGCAAGACCCTACCTCAAAAGAACAAAAGTAACCAAAAGCCCTACGATAAAATAATTGTTAATGTGCATTTGATTCCTACCTAAAATCCAAGACTGCAGGGAACTTTAGCGTTTTGGCAGAAGCCTAATATTTGAGTCTTTGTTCATTTTCCACTCAGATGTTTCCTCTGAGATCTGTTTTACCTGTTTTAATGTATTTAATGGGATTGAATGTTAAATCATTGTAGATAAGGACATGTGCCTGGGTGCTTTCATTACATTTTTTCTGGACTTTGTTCACAGGCTTCACTTTTATTAGTATAAAGCTTTCCTCCGAAACCACACTTTATAGAGACGAAATGCCCGAGGAGCCCATGACCATCAAGATTGGTCTGCTTCGGAATGTGTGAACAGCCCTATGATGAAAGGTTTTCTTTGTGATTTTTGTGCATAAATAAAAAAAAAGATCTTGAGATAATCTCACTGCTTTAGTGAAATATGTATTTTTTTTCTTAATTTATCATGATACTAAAGTAGGTAGCAAGAAAGGCATCCAGGAAGAAGTGTTCTTATGCACAATTTTCTATGCCGGTGCTATGATTTGGGGACCTTGTAGTAGTACTTTCTCATCATAGCAGCCAGCAAATAATAAGACGGAAACATTAATTATGAAAGCTTGGCCTTAGCTTAGGCTTTTTCCCAACTAGCTCTTATAACTTAAATTATCCTGTCTCTATTAATCTACATTCTGCCATGTGGCTTGGTTACCTCTGTCCAACTTCTTCTGAGTCTTGCTTGCATATCTCTGTCGCTCTTCTCAGTTTTCTCTCTTTTCCCTAGAAGTCCCACCTAGTCTCTCTACCTAGCTATTGGCCGTTTAGCTCTTTATTAAACAAATCAGAAGGCACCTTAGACAGAGACACATTTGTTTACAGTGTAAACAAATATTCCGCAACAGGACCTCCCCCAGAAAATGTGCTAGGAACATAGTCCCCAGGCATGTGTGACATTTTGAGAGGTGGAATCTGGTAGCTAACTGGGTTAGTGAATTAATGGGATATTGAGGGGCTGGCTTTGTTATAAAAACAGCTGTCTGGGCTTCTTGCTCTGCTTTGCAGTTGATGCCATCAGCCGTGTTTGGATGTAGCAAGAAGGCCTTTGGAAACAGTTGCCATGATGCACCTGCCATCCCCAGGCTTCAGAACTGTGAAATCAACCCTGCCTGTAGTGCTCAGTTATAGCAACAGAATGCTGGCTAAGAGAAACATATCTAATCAGTTCAGGAGTGGGTGTGTCACAGGTTCTCATTTAGCAGTTGTCATGTGAAGGTGTATCTAGACCAAGTCCGATAGTCACTGAGAAGCCAGAATACATGTATTCCAGTTTTAGCCCCATGTAAGTAAGTATAGTGGGTGTAGGCATATTATGTCACTGTTGACTCCTCAGGTTCCAACCCAATACCTAGCAGAGTACGTACTCAGTATCTGAATGAGGGAATAAATTGGAAGGAAATAGGAGCTTTGATAAATATTTAGTGCCTGGGTATAATCTCTAAATTGATTTGACTCTAATAAAAGTAGAGTATAGTCATTGATAAAATTATCTGGGCATTTTAAACTGAAATTGTTGCCTATAAAAAGACTGCATTTGGTTTGAAAACCAGGTCATCATGTATGGTAAACATACACTCTACCACTGAGCTACATCTCTATCCCCGAAGTATTAGAATTCTGTAATCAATGAACTTAGAAATAATAGAATTTATCTTTGTGTCACCTTTCAAATACCTTAAGAAATTAAACCAAAAGGACTTATTTAAATATGGAACTTGGATTAACCTGTATTGAGTTTGAAGGTGTTGCCTGGTTTCAGAGTCTTGGTCTGGCTTGCTTTAGATGAGGCTACCCTAACCAAGTCCAAACTATAGCAGTTTCTAGCTTTGCTCTTTCTCTCTAGAGCCTGGCCAGAAACGCCGGACACATCCCAGGCATTCTTTCAGGATGGTGTGTTCAGTAACACTGACAGCACGCTTGTGTCAGTTGATCAATGGGGCCAGGGTAAGTAGCATGGGTCAGATCAAAACTGTCAGTGTATTTCCTCGGCTGGAAAGTGGGTCACTGGCAATTGTTCTCCGAGTAATAGATCAGAGAGAGAATTCACTGTTGTCAGATCACTCTTTTGTAAAACTTAATCTGTTTTGTTTCTCACAATTGAAATTTCTAAATAAATGATCAGTTTATGTATAAAAATGTAAGGTAAGCCAAGTAATTACTTTAGAAGGAATTCCTCAAGAATTTGTGTGCCTTTAGACAGCAATTGAAAACAGCTTCATCTTCCTGCATTGCCCTGCTGGATAGGGTCTGATGCTCTGAGGCTCAGTGGGTGCCTGAGAAGTGTCTGTGCTCAGGCTTTCAGCTTCCTGGGACAGCGTCCCTCTTCCTTGTTCCCTCCAAACATCTGGTTTCCTACAGTGGCCACTCTCTGGTCCCAATTCCCCATAGTGATGTCCTATATCAGCTAGAGACATTAGGCTTCATTAGAGTGAATTCCATAAGTTAACTGGCTTTTAGTTGTTTTTGTTGTCTTGTAAATTGGGACAGGGAGGCTCACCTACATGAGTGCTTAAGCTTTAGATTTGATCCTCTGCAGACAGCTTTACCCCCCACTGCCTTTACCTTTTCCTTGGTAGTTGTTGATGGTATTGTGGGTTTGGCCAATGAAGAGGTCTCCGAATGCATGCAGTGCCTAATTTAAATGTCAAACACTGGCTATAGTAATCCTCAAAATTAGCAAGGGTTTATCACATCTGGTTCATGTTTGGCTTCCTTCCTAGC